ATAGTTCAAGCCAACTGGTTGTGCTCTGGTAGAAGAGAACAAACAAGCAACACTCCCACAGTAAAAACAGGCTTTGAGAGGGCAGAAACATCCAAGAGATTTTGGCTTGTACCCCTGAACTGCTGCCGGGTTGAGCGCAGTGCCACAAAGCAAAGTCAGACACATTAGTGTAAAGGCCAGTGGCCTGCAATGGAGCAGAAGAGAGAAAACACTCACATTAGCCAAGCAACAGAGCTGAAGGCAGCAACCAGTTTCTTTTCTTGGCTGCTGTCTGCCTGTGTGGTGCCTCTCCTTTACCTCTGTGTGAAGTCTCAGGGTGAGCTCTGACCAGACAGCAGCGTGTCTCAGTGGAGAGGCAGGAATGCAGCTCCTAAACCACCTCTGAACTGCAGATCTTCAGGCTAAAACCTCCTTTCTCTACACAGAGTAAGCAGAACGCTCCATCGCAGGCACAAGCACTGCTGTGTCTCATCGAGGTTCCCTGCCAGGCACCACTTTCCCATGGCAGTGCCATTGGGGGTGCCCAGGTTGACATCCACACCTGCAGCAACGTGACTGTGAGTTAGCACTGCCAGTCTGACCTGGAGGCTTCCCAAAGAGAAAATTCTTAGTAGATCCTGCTGCTGATTGACTTCTGTTACCAGATTCTGAACACCTTGCCCACGACACAATGCAGAAAACCCAAATAACTGGCAAAAAGGGGAACTAAAGCACCCTAGAACTGAACTGCAGCACTGATGTGATGCCTGGTGGTTATGTTACAAACACCAGGATTAAGATCACCAGGTGATACAAAGCCAACTTTAATACAGTCAAAGTCTGCTTTCCAAGCTTTATATTATGTTGTGACACCAGGCAGGAACCCATCAGTTTCCTTTAGGTGAGTTTTTATGTCCGCAGTCCTCAGACCAATGTAGAGAAAAACATCTTACTGCTCCTCTGAAAACCCAGAGTAAGGGGAGGTAGAATGATAACCATTTAAAAAAAAAAAAAAAAAAAAAAAAAAAAAGGCCAACAGAGTAAAACAAAACAATAACTAAGGCATAACTACATCATGATGTTTTAGAGAACAAGAAAATTCTTCCTACCCCACAGAGGGCTGGCTTTTAGCCCAGATCTGTGTTTAATACCAACATAATAGAAAAATTTTAATATTCCACAGTTTTATAGACTTCTTTGCTAGCCTACTATTTCTACTTTCCCCTTTCCACTCCTCCATAAGAAGTCACAGGGTGTTAAGGTGAAAGAGCTTTTACAGCTCTATAGCAAAGCAAGAAACCATGACTATTTTGAAATCATGAATATAAGGTCAAATTAGAGGAAAGGAAGGTGGATCTTAAAGGAAAAAAATAATCCACATGGGAAATTCATCCACAAAAACGTCATTAAGCCAAGACTTCTTCAGCAGAAGGAAAATCACAGCAGGTTACTAGAGAATAAAAGAAATCTAGTAAGTAAAATCTACCTTAAAAGTAAGACAGAGGGGCTTGCAGTTTAATTCTCACTAACATGACAAATTCTTAAAATCCACATCTGGGAAAAAAAAAAAAAAAAGAACACACTTTTAGCAGAGGAATTCAAAAAAGGACCTTATTTATGCTTAAGGGAACAATGCTACACCTGCACACACAAATCCAGTAGGCTGATCACTACAACAAGGAAGAGGGGTGATCAGCATCTGCCCCTGCAAAATTGCAATGCAAGGGAAGAACAAACTTTTGAGAAAGTTTTCACACACATACACAGAAGAGGCCTTTAATGAAAAGCCCCATTGTTCAGGGTCTTGGGAACCTGCTGACGTGGAGGGAAGGAATTATGTTGATGAGCTAGCTGCAGGGTTACTTGTCTGGTAGATTGAGCCACAAAGATCAGGCTGAAAATGACTTGCAGTATTCACCGAGTTCCCTTGAGACCCTGCCACAAACTGATAGCTGTAGAGCACAGCCCTCCTGATTCCTTTGTGGCAACAATCTCACTGAATTACTGTGAGCCACTGTGTGTTATCACAGTTGCAAACAAGAGCAGCCCAGAACAGAAACAGGAAATAAAGAGGATACAAACTCCCTGACAGAGTTCTGTGGGACAACCCATGTTATTACCACCTCTTAACAGAAATTCAGAACATGAGTGGCAGCCACTTTCAGGTAATCACAATTTGATACACACTAAACCACACTGTGTGCAAAAAAATAGAACATAATGAAAACCAAGTCCACTATCATTGTCCAGTGAAGGTAAAGAAACCAAAGCAAATATACAATATGGAATGGAGAGAAAAGCTGCTCATTTGGAAAAAAGAAACCCAAACATTAGGATGGATGAGAAGAAAAATCTAGCAGAGGCACAAAGAATTACTGACTTAGAAAAACTGTAGTGCGAAATTGATCAGCCACATTTTTCCATTTGTAAATATTGTACATTTAGTTTCTAAGAACTGTTTAGTTAGTTTTACGAAGTGCAAGGGAAGGAAAGCTGTAGTAAAAAAGAAAACATACACCAACAATAACTGAAGTCTTGGCAGCTTTCATGGGTTTTAAAGAACAAAGTATTAACCCTGAGTATGTCAAAGCTACCTATAGAAGCTTTGACACTCCACTCCCCCATCAGTTAATTAGCTCTGACAAGTTTGCTTAAAAGGTAGATAGTGTTGCATGGCTGATACTTAACAAGGGAAGCAGCTGTATTCAAGCCTTTCCTTAAAGCTTTTCTTGACTTTGAGGTACCACTCACTACCAATACACAACGATTTTGCAAAGCTACCAGACAGCTACCTTAGACCTAACAAAACAAGTAAAATCAGTTCTGTGTTTTAACCAGCTTACTCTGCACGAGTAAAAAAAAAAAAAAAAAGAAAAACACATTAACAATACTTAGTGCTGAGTGTGATGAAGAGGCAGTGATAAGCAATTACTTGCACTGCTCTCAGAGAAAATGATGATGTTTTTATCCTGTGCTAGGAGGAAACAGGAAGAATTTTGGCAAACATCTGGAGCCTGCATGTTGCTGTACACAACTTTACTTGAAAAACCTTAGGTTAGCTAAGGAAGAATTGTGTAGTAGTTTAGACCAGCAGAAGCCAAAGTATCCATTGATTAGGATTTAAGCCCCTAATTTAGAACAAAAAAATAGCCCACTCCAGTCTGTCATCTAAAAGTGCATCAAAGCACACTGCAACAAACTTTACGTTGATTTAAAAAAAAAAAAAAATCACTATTTAAGGAGAATGCTTGCAGATCCTTGTTGGCAGACTAAACCTACAAACTGTGTTGTGCTATGAAAAGGAATTATGCTTCCTGCTTCTAAAAGGTCTGGCAAAAGAGCTGAGTTCATGACTGAATTCTAAAAAAAGGCATTAAACCAGTAAATCATGGTGTGAAAGAGAAACCATAATAGATTTTATATGGCTTAATTATATGCTTCAGCAAATTATGACAATCTCAGCAAAGAGTAAGATATGGGGCAAAGAGACCAAAAGAATCAAGAACTCTTACAGGAAGTTCTTACAAATTATTCTCCATTAAGGGTACAAAACAGAGAAGCTTTCCAAAGTTCTTCTTCCCCAATAACAGAATTTTTCTTTTTTTTTTCATTTCCTGTTCCATGAAGAGGTGTTTCAAAACAAACTGCTCTGAAGCTTTCTTCTTGTCTTATTGTCACACTTGTGTTACATATGCCAGCACATGTCTACAAGGTGCTACAGCACTTAACTGTGCATAGTGCTCCTGGGGGAGGGGATTTCTTTATATCCAAAATTAAACCATTTAATAAAGAACAAGTTGTACTAGATGTTGGCAGCAAAAAGAATTAAGAGAACATTAATTGTTAGAAAGAAAAGCACCAAACCCTCTGAAATCTGGAAGTCATCCCATTTGAAAAACAGCATTAAAACTGGCACTGGCCTTCAGATATCTTCTGAGTAAGTGCAACTAGATCCATAAAAAATGTGAGACATCAGCCTGGTGCAGAACACCTCCTGTCCTCAGCCTTCTGCAGAGCCACAGGGGCAGGAGGAAGCTGAATGCAGGGAACCTCACAGGTTCTGCTTTCCCAGCTGCCAGACAGAGCAAGAACCTGGGACTCTAAAAGCTGTTAATTAGTTCTTTTGCTGCATCAGGCTCTGTCTCCTCTGATAAAATGACTGCCCGCAAAGATCCTTGTCTTTCCTTCTGGTGCCGCACACTCTTCACTCCACCTTCACTTTACACTTTCCCCTCTTCCTGTCTTCTTGTTCATTTGTCCCTTTGCTTCACTCTTCCATATCTGCTTATCCTTTCATTTCTCCTGTCATTAAAACAAGGCTGCAGTGACAAGACTACAATTACAATAACCTCCAGCAGGGTCTCTTTCAACCTGCATGCTTGACATCAGTGTCCAGCTTCAGGACTCCACATCCAGCCTGGATTCAGACAAAAGCCACAGCACTAAAATCTGACCATGATGCAGGTGTTCAGCTGCAGAACATGCCAACAGAGCCAATGGCATGTACAAGAGTTAAGTCTGGCTTACAAAGCTTGAGCACTCTCATTCTCCTGCTCTCACATTCTCTTATTAGAGGACAAGCTCCTCAAGTCCCAGATTTCTGGCTACCTGTTTTTCAACCTGTGTAGCATAGCCAGGCCCCATTATTGCCAAACAACAACTACGAATGAGAATAATTCATTTGGCACATGACAAACTCTGAAAATTAGCTTCCAGTTCCAGTTAGCCAGGATATTTTTCCCTTAAAAGTAAATCAATTGACTACATGGTGCAGGAATCTGAGATGTGAACAGCTTTGCCTGTCAGCTGGAAAAAGTAGAGGTCATGGATTTTTCTCCAATTAAAAAAGTTACATTGTGAGTTTCATTTTCAGACTTCTAAAAAAGTCTTGTCATTTTCTACTCAGGAAATTTGAGTGAAGTGAGCAAGTACTCCACAATCTGATAAGGAAACAAGACAGTATTCATTTCTTCCAATAACAGTGATTTTCTCACAGTTTGAATGCAACAATTCACCCTTACCTCAACCTTGCTTCCTGGTTCATGCTCTGCAGCAGCAAAGTAGACCACCTCCTGCACTTCATCCCTGGGCCGTGCAGAGTTCTTTCCAAATACCACCAGCCCATCTTTAGAACAGGGGGGGAAGGCTACAAAACAGTAGCTTGGAGGAGCTGCAGCCATCCTAGGAAGGAAAGAAAGCATAAACAAACAAAACTAGTGGGGTTTTTTATTCGTGACTGCATACACTAGAGCATCATTCAGTCTGCTGGAACTAAGTGTAGCTGAGAGGGAATGCACTCCCTCTGTCAGCTGATTGTCCAGTGATAAGGGAAGAACAGGTCAGCTCGAAGGAAGCTTATCTGAATTAAATGTTAAACATATAATGATTTGCATCATTTTTCACCCAAGCTTTGTGAAGGCATGAATGGGAGAAAAGGCAAGAGAACTGTGCCTTGATGAGCCTGTTCAGTCCCCACTGAAAGAAGACACTCTGCACTGGAGCTCCTTGGGAATGTATGACCTAGATGTATTCTGCTGACTCAGACAAGTGCAGAGACACAGAATAACTTTAAATAATTTACTCCCTCTGCTCACATGCACTTTAATATTTTTAAAAAGGAAAGATAAAACATGTTTGAGGGATTCCTAAAAGAGGACAATAGTATAACTGGAAACAGAACAAAGATACAGCACAATTACATCAAAAACTGTCAGTGAATTAATCTACTGAGACGGGAGAAAGACTGAAGCACTAATCGCACTTTATTTTCTTTGTGGTTTGTCTGCATTGCTGCTCTTACCTGAAGTTAATTGATTGCTGTTTATTTGTTTATGTAGGCTAATATGAAATGTTTATAGGATAATTTTAAGTGTTTGCAATGACAATATATTAAGAAAAAATATAAACTGTTTCAGGTCTATTACACTATTGTAGTTGGTCTTGTGTACACTGCCATATCTGACATTTTTTTCCACCATTCAGGAAAATTTCTGGCACATATGGCTACAAATGGAAAATGTGGGGTGTTTATCACTTGTTTAAAAAGCACTCAAAGCAGATGTCTAAGTTTTCTTCATGATTCTTAGCACAGCAATAGAAACTCAGCCCCAAATAAACAAACTTGTTTCTCTTCGTCTTCCACAATATCCTGAAGAAGTACTTGCACACATTTGCACTCCTTAGAAACAACCAGCACATGAGTTTCCCTCCCAAATTCATCTGCAAGACAATGCTGGGCATGGAGAAGTGTGCAAAGCTGCTTTTTCACCATTAGCTTGCACATGCTTCAAACCATTCAAATTTGTGGTTTTTTTGTTTTTTTGTTTTTGTTTTTTTTTTTTATTTAAGCAGTGCCATTTGAGCACATACTTCTCACAGAACAGCAGATAATAAAACAGAGAAAGAATTCCTTTTCTATAAAGACTGTAATTCATAAAATGGTAATTGTTTGCCTGTGGACTATGAACAAGTCACACAAATGCTCAACCTTGCAAAAGAAGGTCAAGTAGATCCATGTTAGAAGTGCCCTCTACCAACACAATGTGAGGCAATGAATTGTCCAGGGGACACACACAATCTTTCCATTCAGGTAAAATTATATTCATCCACTTGAGCTGAAAATGCATTAGGAAACAAACAAATCCCTTTTCATAAGCAGAGTTTTGACCAGTGGGAAAGGACAAGCTACTGTGAGCTGGAATTACTTCAGCTGATAAAACATATCTGTCAGAGGACACTGGGTTACAGACCTGCCTATTGTGCCTCTAATCTGGGCCATTACAGGTTCTACAGGAGTGTCTTGCACACAGAATCGATAAAAAGCCCCACTGCAGTTGCCATTCATTGCTTGCAAGTCCTCAGAGCACCTGTGGTTTAACTGGAACCTGGTGTGGTTGTAGAGTGTTTGCCCAACCTTCATTGTAGTGGTGTGTTTTTTTGTTTTATTAGTATGTTTACTGTTTGATTTGCAATTTTGTAATTTTCTTATGCTGTCCTTTTTGTCCCTGCCCTTTCCCCAGAACTTTCCTCACTCCTCCTTTTGTTAAATGTCAATCTTTCCCCAAACCTGCCTTCCCTCTACAAACTTCCCTATCAATTTTGTATTATTTCTTCAAACTCTATTAGTTCACTGAAGCTGTTCTCCTCCCTTGAAATTCTTTATTGGTTTATACATTGTATTCCCCGCCTTGATTTTCCCACCCAATTCTCCTGATTAGTTAAAGATTGTACCCTCCTCTGAGACCTGCCCCCATATATAAGTTGTTTGCCCCCAGTTCGGGGTCCAGGGATGCTGAGAGAGTAAGTTTTGCCATCGAATAAAGGTACCCCAGTTCCACCCCAGGACCCAGGGTGCTGCTCTTTTGTTTCCACACCAAACTTCCACTGGAAGCAGGGATCTTGCAGAACTCGGAAAGGGGGCTGCGGCACTCCTGTCTGCTACTTCGAGCTGGAATTACTTCAGCTGATAAAACACATCTGTCAGAGGACACTGGCACAGACCTGCCTATTGTGCCTCTAAATCTGGGCCATTACAGGTTCTACAGGAGTGTCTTGCACACAGAATCGATAAAAAGCCCCACTGCAGTTGCCATTCATTGCTTGCAAGTCCTCAGAGCGCCTGTGGTTTAACTGGAACCTGGTGTGTTTGTAGAGTGTTTGCCCAACCTCCATCACTAATGAAACCACTCAGTACTTTGTTATGAATTACTTCAAGTATGAGTATTGCAGTGTTGGTGATGTCAATGAAACATCTGCTTTCCAGAACTCTAGGAGTTCCCATCTGCCTTCAGGTAACTCATCTTTTAGAGTGCCAAATTTGTCTTCTGACACATTGCCAAATGAGCCAAAATCTTGAACAACTTGCAGATTTAGTGAGGATCTCACTACTCAAAATAAGTATTTCCTTTATTCCAAACACTATCTAAGCAGATTTATTTGAAATACATGACACAGCTGAAAAACATTAAGCTTCCAAGAGCCTAGCAAGAAAGGTTAGAAATCATATACTATACTAATTTTTATTAAATTAATACCTAAACATATGGGCAGATAAGCTTAAAAAGATGGGAAATGTTTCAGCATTCTGTTACTGAACAAATACGAAGGTATGCAAGGCAGACATTTACATACCTACAGTCTGAGTAGATAGGGAAAAGAAGTAAAAGCTTGTAGCTAATGCCCTTAGAATTCTGAAACCTCCCTGAAAGAAACAGTCTCTACTGTATGCATGAGATTTTATTTTTTCCCCCCTTAAATATACCAACAGTTACAGAACCTAAAACAAATTGCCATTTTGGTAATGCTTTATAAGTATGAAAGTATGAGTAAGTGTGGGATTTTTTTTTTCCCTAAATATGCCAACAGTTACTGAACCAAAAACAAGCTTGCCATTTTGGTAATGCTTTTTAGGCACGAAAGTATGAGTAAGCTCCTCTATAACCAGAGTTCCCTTCAACACACAGTATATTTCATAAGCATGAGCAAGCTGCCCAGTAACTAGAGGTCATTTCAACACAGTGTACTACATAAAGGCAAGTATGTAACAATCAAACACAATGTCAAATGTTTTAACCTTATCCTGAAAACATGACTGTCAATGGAGGAGTTTGCACTGGGATCTCAGATGACATCTCAGAGAAGGAAGCCATCTAGCAGTCTACTGCAGTTTAAATCTACTCAGTTTGCTAGGCAGCATTTTTTCCTTGAACCTCATTTGGTTCATTTTGAATATGACAAGGATAGCCATTTCTCAGATATACCCACAACCTCTACTTGTTCAGAACTCTACTGTACTTTATCTTCCTCCATCACGTAGCTGAAACAGTCTGTTAGCAGTCACCTATCTAAGCAGGACATTTCTACTTGCCTGCTTCACGTTCTTTCTTTATTCAGCTTCAGCTTGTCCTCATGCTCATTTTCATGTATTTGCCACCTCTTTGCCTCTTACACAGCTCAATGCTGGACAAACATCTTTCACCCACAGGAGGAAAAGAACAGTCCTTCATAGTACCTGTGATAAATCAGCCTGACTTTTAAAACCACCTACTGTTATAATCCTTACATTTTTTTCACAGAGAGTTTGCTCCTCCAGTGAAAGGTAATCCTGAAAATCTTAGAAAACACAGGGAATGACTGCAAATAGATCTCAAAGAACAGCTTGCTGCCCATTCACACAGTTCTCTAGCAGAGAGCATGTTAAGCATAGTGGCCTGATTTTCTCAGCAGACCATACCTCAGACCTAGATTCTGGTGTAGGCAGAGGTAAACCTACACATTTGTCTCGATTACACTCATAGATGGGCAAGTTCAGAAAAATGAGGACTGTACAGACCATTGTAGGCTGCATCCAACATCACTGTGCACGTGGAAGCCCTGGAAACAGACAAAGAGCTGTACGTGATGCTGTGCCACCATGTATAACTGCTGCAGTTGCAGGGTGTTAACAGGCATCATGCTCGGTCAACCTCGAATCACTGCAGGCACAAAGGTGGAAAAAAGAGTTCTGAGCAGCAGCCACAAGCTAATACACTCCACTTGCGATCTTTTTATTTGACAAAAACACGGTGCAGCAGGGATGCGATATTCCACCTGGTCATATTTTTTTCCCAGTCTCCTGTGTTCTGACACTGTAAAGAAGACTTAGTTAACAAGTTCCTTTATTAAGATCTTTTCTCCTTGTGATAAGTCCCATTTAACACCTGACAAGCCAAATTAATTGTACGAATATATCACCAATGCTGTCAGTGGTAAAACAGACAGTACTGAGTTCCTAAGGATTTTAATGCAGAAAGAAAAGAGTAACAACCATTGGGCAATCATAGAATCAAAACAGTTGGAAAATACCTCCATGATCATCCAGACCAACCTTTGAGCAAACAACTAAATCACAGCACTAGGTGCCATATCCAGGGGTTTCTCAAACACCCCCAGGGATGATGACTCCATCACCTCCCTGGGCAGCCTGTTCCAATGCTTAACAAGCCCTTTAGTGAAGAAATTCCCGCTGATGTCCAACCTGAGCCTCCCCTGGTGCAGACCATTTCCTCTTGTCACTGGCTGCCTGATCAGGCTGATCCCCAGGCAGCTACAGCCTCCTTTCAGGCTGTTTTAGAGAGCAGTAAGGCCTCCCCTGAGCCTCCTTTTTGCCACGCTGAACACCCACAGCTCCCTGAGCTGCTCCT